GGTTAGATATAACCATAGGTTCTATGATAACAGTTTAAACCCCATATTTTTACCATAATTCCCGAAAAATATGTAAAATTTGTAATATATTGCAGGAGATGGAAGACCGCAAACCTTATGGTCACTCATCAAAATAACCTCATGAAACCTAAACTAGAGATGACCAATACAGTGCTTCAATTTCAATGTCCAGTACAAGACTGTGTTTATTGTCACAAATCAAATACCTATATCGGACACATTACTAGCTTCTTGGGTAGACATGTTACATGTCACTTATCTGACCATAGTGCCATAAACATATTTATTAATCCATAATATACAATAACTTTTAATGGAATTCTGGTCGAAAATACGAGAATTCTATATAAATCAAATTATCAGAATCATCTTGCTATTCGAGAAGCGCTATATATTAAAAAATTCTCTCCCACCATCAGCCTTAAATTATTTACTAGTGGAAATGGAGTGTTGAAAGATTTTTTAAAATAAAAAATAAAGAGATACTCACGCGAATTCCAGTCGCACGCGGCAAGTGAGAGCTTAGAATGAACGCTCCATTTCAAAAAACGGCATTAACATAATTTACAACGTAACAGTGAAAACATGAGTTAAGAATAGAAACACCAGGGACAAAACACGCTTGAAAATGTCTATAGAAGTGGCCAAAAGTGCCTAGTATAATAACAATTATCGACAATTTTTATATTCATTAGCTACTACAAAACGGAAAAAAAACACGTTTGGATGCTGGAAAAATTTAATAAAAAATTAATTCAATCTTCCTTATTGCCCGCATTCAATGAAATATATATATATATATATATATATATATATATATATCACATTATGAAATGGACAAAGTCCGACAATTATTTTAAGACATTTTTATGCTTATACATTCTTTTTATAGATACAAATATTTAAGTAAATGTTCTGTTTATAATAAACAGTATTAAACAACATTTACCGGCCTGAATGTCCGAGGAATTTTCATAGAAAATATTCGTCCTCCGACAGGATTCGAACCTGTATCCTATACGGAACCGTCATTTAGCTTGACGTGCTTTTAATGTCTTAAAATGAATATATATATATATATATATATATATATATATATATATATATATATATTGAACAATAAAAAAATATTAAAAAATTAAAATCTTCAGACACTGGGTTGTAGATTAATATTCTTTCGTTTTTTTTATTATTATTTCATTTAGATTCCTCGACTAGTTTCGGTCGAAATGGCCATCATCGGGAGGAGAAATATTTCTGCTTGCTGATAGCAGTAAACTACAGAAATGAATGTCTTGATGGAGAAAATGAACTTTTGTCTGTAGTTTTCATTTGTTTTTTTTTATTTTTTTATCCCTTTAACATGAATCTTTTAACATTCCTTGTGTTGGTCAAACAGTCTCTTTTAAGTTGTTATTTGAGATAAGAGCTGGATGGATCTATGCTTCTCTGAATTCCCGTGGTCATTTTGACAGTTTTATTGGTCCTGGAGAGGGGAAGTGTTTCTGTTTAATGTTTGTGTATGTGTTATTTTGTTCTTAGGGAGTGAGTGAGTATGATATGTGTAAGCGTGTGTATTGCTGTGGGTGTGTGTTATCATTTGGCTCATTAGGGAGTGAGTGAGTATGATGTGTGTAAGTGTGTATATTCGTGTGGGTGTGTGTATAAGTGTGAGGCCTCCACACCTCCGTAAGCATGTCTGTCTTGTGTGGGGGAGAAATGTGGGTAGGTTTTCCCGTCGTATTCAACGTATCAAGCAGTACAGTTTCTAGAAAGCGACAGCCAGACACCAGCACATATGATTTGATCACAGTGGTGAAGGTTTTGTGCAGAACCATCCACAGTTTTTGAAGAGCCAAATACAGAGACCTGGTGCACTACGTGCCACAGGTTCCCCAAACAACACTCTGCAGGTTTTGAATTCAGAGTTGTCATGCTCCTAGACTAGTTGCCGTCCAAGGCTATAGAACCCACTCTGTCCTGCTATTTACCCATAGCTGAAGGAAGGATTCATACCTTTCCTAAGGGTATTAGCACATAAGTGAATTTAATGGATTCAACAGGAATTCGAACTCGGCTCTCCAATCCAAGCGCCTATCCATTACTCCACTGTGCAATATCAATATATATATATATATATATATATATATATATATATATATATATATATATATATATATTATCAAAGATGTCAATTACATTACTATATATTAAGCAATACACGGACAAGAAAGTGATGATAGTCTGTTTCTGTTTACATGGATGATTTCCAAGCAACGATAAACTCGTGCATATAAAGCTTAGATAGGATTAAAAAATATGTATCAATATTGTGATTTTCTTTCTTCGTTTAATGACAATGTTATTAAGCTTACCAGACAATGTGAAAAGAATTTACATAAAATAAATAGACAACCCATGTCCATATTATTTAATGCAACATGTATCAATGAAAAAATGCTGCCTAAACACACACACACACACACACACACACACACACACACACACACACACACACACATATATATATATATATATATATATATATATATATATATATCCCAGGAAAGATAAACTGATAGCCACACATTGACAAAAAAGTGAATATATATAATCTATAATAATGCATTGCACTTTATTGTTGAGAAGCTGAAATATAAAGATATGAGTAGAATCTTTAAACAAACTGGACAGTTTAACAGCAAATCCCGTTTTAGCTTTAAATAAATTGTTGGATAAGAATTCTGATGTCAACGAAGCCACAATTGAAACGTTTTAAGAGACGAGTAATCGATAAGTCTTAAAAAGCGGAATCCATTAACAAATTTATGACCGTTTGTTTAGCGCCTACAGCCAAATTGTTTATTGAGTAATAATCGATATCGTAGACATATATCGTGATTGGCAGTAACTATGAAAAAAATAACTTTGTCTAAAAGTACAAAACAAATGATCACCTCGTCTATGGTCGTTAACGTGTTTTATGTCCGTTATGTTTCCCACATTTTAAAATAAGCTCTTCATAATAGTTTCCGTGTAATATATTGTTTAAAGTAAGAAGTGTCAGTGCTTATTGATAGTGTTATCGGCATTTCCCGCTCCTTTTTGTGCGCGTGCGCATCGTCAAATAAGTAATGGTTGCCGGATAAATCTATTGTCACGACAAACAATGACAGCTCTATCATTGACGATAAAATGGAAAACTAAGAAAAAAAACAGTATAAGTACAGATTGACAATAAGTGCACGATTTTAACACTGCATTGGTTGCATTTTACATACCTGCTGTATATTTTCGAACTGAAGCTAGTTGGTGAATTAACATTTGGACATGAAGCCGGTCGTTGAATATATGGGCCCAAAGGTAGTTAATCCGGGCCAAAAACAAAAAAAAAAAAAAAAAAAAAAACTGATTAGTGGACATCAGGCCCAAATATAGTCAGTGGACATTTCGACACAAATCGAGGCAATTAAAATCCCGTTTCCAAGCTGGTCGATTTATATCCAGACACTAAACTAAAAAATTAACATTCGGAACCAAATGGATATCTGAACTGGTTAAAGGACCCCTAACCCAAAACTGATCAATGGGAATCATAACTAAAAACTGGTCAATCAATATCCAGACCCCCATAATTGTCAATTATTATCCGGAGAAAAAATAACATTCGGAATTAATGTTGATCAATGGACATCCGGATCCAAAACAAATCAATCAATATCAGGGTACAAAACTGAAAAATTAACATTTGGAAACAAAACAGTTGAATAGAAATCCTGACCTGAATCTGAATCAAGATCGACACCTAAAACTGAAAAATCCTCATTCGGAAATGAAGCTGTTTAAAGGTACCCCGAATCTAAAACAGTGGACATCAGTTCTTTAAGTTGACCAATTAAGATCTGGACCCAAAACACCCGAACTAAAACCGTTACTACATCATCTTAACGAAAATTAGCATTTCAGGATATTATATTTTTCCACTCCCAGATTACCAAGACAGAGCAAGAAAACGCCTCGCAACATCAACTCCTATCCAAGGAAACTCCGTGGTGTTACTCGAGTTTCACTCACTCGCGATCTTTAGTTGAGTGGAACGCAACTGAAAGAATATATAAAGTTTATATTTAAGCAGCAAGAATTCAATCAAATAATTTTTTATTAGATTACATCAACAAGGTCGGTCTGTTTAATTCTTGAATATATATATTTTTTTGTTTACGTATAAGTTGTCACAACTCCAGATCAAATTGTGGAGAAACTTTGACCATATTTCTCCATTATTAGGAACGTTCTTGTCATTGTCATAGAGAATTATTTTTGTAAGTCTAATCCTAGCATTTTTGGAACGTTACGCTTCAAATCTAAATATACGTGTATCGTGTATGTAATCCCATGGGAAGAATAGTTTCACAAAATTAGCAGCACCAGAAGACGGTGATTTTGTAAAATTTTTTATATGCCTTTTGGAATACCGTCCAATGTGAAGAAATATACTTTATTTAATGTGGTTTTGCTTTTGGATAATGATAACACCGAAGTTTTTTTTGTGCCTTTCTTTATAATAATTAGTGTATAGTATTTTGGTATTAGCTACTAACATTTGTATTCAAGTTAATAGTCGTATTTTGGTTGTTTATCATGTGATGATTTGTATGCGCACAAATTTCGCTAACTGACAGGTTAACCAACAAGAGGGTGTGGTAGTTGTGTGATCTATATAAGCGTTTAATGTTTTTTTTTATTATTGGTGTTGAAGATACATTCTTGCAAAAGGTATGAGAATTCGTAAATAACATTGTTTTTCCTTACGGATGGTATACTCGTAAACATAGTGAAAAATCATCATTAACTGGTCAGTGAATAAAGACATTATGAACTGCTACCTGAATCTTGCTTGGATAACTTACGGAACTTGTATAATTATTCTTGGGCTAACAGGCAACATCTTATCTATATTTGTCTTGCGGCGTTCCACGATGAAATATCTGGGCATCAGCAAATACCTTATACTTCTTTCGTTTTCGGATTTTGTCATCTGCGCTAGCGGGACGACGATAATGTGGACTGATGTTGTTTTCGGTATCAACGTACGGTCTTTCGACAAGTACTTCTGCAAAATTTCTGTTTATGTGAATCGCATATTCATGGTGTATTCTTCGTGGATTCTGTTGGTGATATCAGTCGACAGGCTCGACCACGTTTTCTTCCCGCTAAAAATCACGCGGTCGAAGCGACTTAGTCTCAAACTCGGAATTCCTTTCTTTGTCATCGCTATTTGGCAGTCGTACACCTTATACTTTTACGAGGTAATTAGCAATCCTGTTGACCTGCAGTTGGCAAAAGCATCCTGTCGAATAAGCGACCGGAATAAGAAGGTGTCGGAAGCAGTACTCAGACTGGCCTCACTCATCTTCACTACGTTCTATTCGGTTATTCCTTGCATTATACTAACCATCTGTAACATTGCAATCGTCTGCAAACTCAATATTCCAACACAGCTTAATCTCGGAGAGAACGCAATTAACGGTCGTAAAAGGGTCAGTATCCGATTAATGGTTTTACTGAGTATTCTTTTTATTGTTACAACAGGACCATTTGGAATTATGATTGTCGTGCAAACGTTTTTGCAACTGAAATCGCAATGTCTTATCGGACATCTCTCGCTCCTCGCCTTAACAAATAATTCAGTGAATGTTCTGCTGTATGTCTTCAGTGGAAAGAGGTTTCGGCAAGAATTAGTAAAGTTACTCAAAAGAAAGCAGTCGTCGCCTTCGAAGGGCAAAAAAGGGAGCCGTGAACTTTCGGTTGTTAATCAATTTTGACAAAAGGTATCTATCTATCTATCTATCTGATCCATGTTGTTAAATTCATATCTATTCACATATATCTCATCCTATCAAGTTAAATATAAACTCTTCTATCTATCTATCTATCTATCTATCTATCTATCTATCTATCTTATTAAATTAGTCTGCTCCCACAATCTATCTATCTATCTATCTATCTGATCCATTTTGTTAAATTTATATCTAATCATATATATCGAGTTAAATGTAGACTTTTCTATCTATCTATCTATCATATTTAATTAATCAAGTCAATGTTTTCACAATAAAATAAATATTAAGTCACCATGTTCATATGATAAACATATTCTGTGAGTTTTAGCAAATCTTATATATCTTTATTAAAATATGGATAATCGCCCCTTTGTGCGAGGTCATGTATTAAATATTGTGATAAAACAAATATATTTAATAATAAAAAAATCAGCTGAATTTCACGGCATATTTATCATATAAGTATCTTGAATATTTTCCTAATATCTATTACTTATTCCCAGTTCCATTGTAAAAACATTAACTGGCATATTAAAATCTTTTTCTCCGTATTGTACTTTCGGCGAAACTTAGAATACCCTGATTTCACCCCTTTTCAGAGGGATGAGAGCGTTCAGAAAGGATTCGTTTACCGGATGGATACTTACAGATTCGGGTATAACCACAACATCGTTTACGTTTGACTCAAGTTTAATCCACCTTTTGAAGCAACTGTAAACTGGATATATTTCTGATTTTGATTTAAGTGCAAATAGGACCTTTGTTTAACTGTTCATCTCAACTATTAACGCGCATAATTACCTACCTTTTCGACTCAAGTAACTGGATATATATCAACATTCTTGACACATTGATAAACCAGACCTTTTGTTCAAACTGGGCCTATACTTACCTTTTTGTCTCTCGTGTAAACCGGACCTTTTGTTCAAACTGGGCCTATACTTACCTTTTTGTCTCTCGTGTAAATCGGACCTTTTGTTCAAACTGGGCCTATACTTACCTTTTTGTCTCTCGTGTAAACCGGACCTTTTGTTCAAACTGGGCCTATACTTACCTTTTTGTCTCTCGTGTAAACCGGACCTTTTGTTCAAACTGGGCCTATACTTACCTTTTTGTCTCTCGTAAACCGGACCTTTTGTTCAAACTGGGCCTATACTTACCTTTTTTTGTCTTTCGTGTAAACCGGACCTTTTGTTCAAACTGGGCCTATACTTACCTTTTTGTCTCTCGTGTAAACCGGACCTAAACTTAAATCTAAATAATTTTTTGACCTAACCGGACATCTGTCTGCCTATCAAATCAAGTGTAAACTTGGACCTATGTCTAGCCTTCTGACTCAAATATAAACTGGACTCATAACTATCTATTGACTCAAGTATTAACTCGAGCTATGTCTGCTTTTGACTCAACTATAAACTGGACCTATATCTGCCATTCGAATTGAATGTAAACTAGACTTATGTCTAGCTTTTTGATTCAGATCTAAACTATGTAACTATTTACTGAATAAATGTATAAAGGAGACCAATGTCTATCTTTTTCTTTTAACTACAACTCGCACATATGCCTACTTTTTCGTCTCGTGTAAACCGGATCTATATATCAAACATTTGTGACAACGATATTGTTTTGTTTTAATCAATTCACTCCAAGCAAGGCGATAATGCAACTGAGATGCAATGGGTTACTAGGACTGAAAGAGAATGAAAAAATATCTATCTAACTAGGAATGTTCATATCTATCTATATATTTCAATATGTTCGTATCTATCAATCCATGCATCAACCTTTTCAATTCTATCTGTCATCCTTTTCAGTTCTATCTATCTATCTATCTATCTATCTATCTATCTATCTATGAACCTTTCAAATCTATCTATCTATGAACCTTTCAAATCTATCTATCTATCTATCTATCTATCTATCTATCTATCTATCTATCTATCTTGTTAAATTAGTCTGTTCTTTCTATCTATCTATCTATCTATGAACCTTTTCAATTCTATCTATCTATCTATCTATCTATCTATCTATCTATCTATCTATCTGTCTATCTATCTATCTATCTATCTATCTATCTATCTATCTTGTTAAATTAGTCTGTTCTATCTATCTATGAACCTTTTCAAATCTATCTATCTATCTATCTATCTATCTATCTATCTATGAACCTTTTCAAATTCTATCTATCTATGAACCTTTTCAAATCTATCTATCTATCTATCTATCTATCTATCTTGTTAAATTAGTCTGTTCTATCTATCTATCTATCTATGAACTTTTTCAAATCTATCTAACTATCTATCTATGAACCTTTTGAAATCTATCTATCTATCTATCTATCTATCTATCTATCTATCTATCTATTAGCCTTTTCAAATATATACATCTACCTTGTTTAATTAGTCTGTTCAAGCTATCTATCTATTAGATATGATAACATATAAATATATCTATATACCTTGATCATCAGAGGAGTTTTTTTTATTGCTTATTATCAACCAATTAATTAATACCAGTCTGTCTTCTGCGGACAGATGAACACAGTGCAAATGCATGGTATAAAAATACAAACCTTATTGAGGATAATTAATGTCTGATATACTTACACGCGTTTATTGATTAATCAAAAATTGATAGGCAACATAAAGGCTTTCCTGTAGCGAAGTCAACTCATTGAAATGTGTAAAGTATATTATTTCTGTACAGTTTGGGAATTAATGCTACCTCAATGCCACAAATGCAAAACAGGAAGCTCACAGACCCCCCACCCCGCAAAAATCCCTCTTTTTTCTTCTTCTATGTACCTTGTCCCTTCAGGATGTAGGTGATTATGGCTCTCCACAATTTCCTGTCCTTTGTAACTCTTAGTAGGGTTTGTCTTTTTCCTGACCTTCCTAATTCTAATTCCGACAACCATTTATGCAAACTCGTTTGGTTGTTTCATTTGCGGTGTTTTCATTTGTCCACTTTTGTCTCGTGAGTCTCAAATTTCCAAGTTGTCTTTCTTCATTACTTGCTCTAGAAATATCAAATGTCTCTTTTCAGTTCTAATAATAAATGTCCTTTTTGTTTCCATTTCTCATAAAACTTCGTTATATTCACTTAATGCTATTCTCAACATTCATCTATAAAATCATTTCTGTTGCCTCAAATCTCTTCTTCATCTGTTACGAGATTGTCCAGCATCCACTGTCATATAGAAGAAACGATATTACATAACAGACTAGTAAACATTTGTTTTGTTTTTTTTTTCCAACGAAATTTCCGTTTCTTAATCATTTACTTAGCTTTCGAAAGGCATCTTTCTGTCATCGAATTTCGGTGCCGCATTTCACTTGCTAGATATTTAAATTTTTGTACTTGCTTGATTTTAGTTTCGCATCCTGGACTCTTTCATTGGCTGCACGATTAAATTATATAAATACCTATACTCCGACACAGTTTGTGTCCGATTAATTTATCTGTTTTTTTTTTTTTTTACGGCTTGTCAACTTTATGGGTTATTTAATACTGAAACATAATTTGGAGTGTAACAAGAATTCTTTTTTTGGTCGAGTGCTATTGAACTGTTGCGTGATATCTGTCCTCCTATATGGCAATGAATGCTAGACAATCTCCTCACAGATGAAGAAGAGACTCGAAGCAACAGAAATGTGGTTCTACAGAAAGATGTTAAGGATACCATGGGCCGAACATGTGAGCAACGACGAGGTTTTTGAGAAAATGGAAACGAAAATGAAACTTATACTTAACATCAGAAAGAGATAGTTGAAATTTCTGGAACACTTAATGAAGAAGGAGGGCTTGGAAAACCTCATACTCACAGGGCAGTTAAAGTGAAAGATGGCCAGAGGAAAGCAGCGCGTAACTTACTTGATGGACTTGAGTAAATGGATGGCAGAACAGGGTTTGGGAGAAATGACAAAAGAACAAAACTTAAGCACTAAAAGGCATAGGATGAAGTGGAGCGCCATGATCGCCTACGTCCTGATTTTTCCAGATACACTTCCCACTATTTAACCCAAAGTTGTATGTGTGTGTGTGTGTGTGTGTGTGTGTGCGCGCGTTTTTGTGTGTTTCTGTGTGTGTGTGTGTATCATGCCAGATACGACACAAATATTTCTCAAATTTCACTAAGATTTTTAATATTTTGTCAAATTTGGTTTATTTCTGTTTATCATACACAATTTCCGCATGTTTCCAAAATATAAAATGCTGCAAGTATTTTGTTACTTTCATGAAAAAAAGTTTCCTAGATAAGAACTATGAATTCTGTATTCTCTATTAAAAATAGCTAAATAATTAGATTTCTAAAATAGGGGTCAGTGTTCTAAATTTAGCTGCCCACTTTTGTACTGTTGTTAAAACTGGAGAGTGATGTCCTACTATAGCAACCATGTCCTGTATGAGTGTCCTTATGGGCTAACCATCTTTTTTTTGGCAGATATGGATAACACCACGATGCTAAATTGTGTTCCTTTCCAAGAGAAGTCTCTACTAGTTACGTCTGACGTCTTCCTTGATCAGTCATATATCATTCAACCTGGAAAGAAACAGTGCAGTTAATAAGACGAGCTGAAATAAATACATACAAGAACTCACAATTCTAGCGTCACCCCTTCTTAGTCAACTTATAAACTTTTCAGCATCCCCCTCGTAATTCTATTATATTTAATTTTTGACAAATATGTGCGATTTTCTTTCTGTTAAAGATAAAAAAGTAACTTAAACTTAACCCATTAACTGCCAAATTTTTTTAATGCGCCTTTTTGGCCCAGACAGGTGTCTTAGGAGTTTATTTATTCCTTATGTTTAATTTCAGTAGTTACCATTGTTGTTTTTATAGAAACTAGAACATCAAATATATATGTGTATAAAACGTCAAAAATTAATATTGATGAGAAATAATTAAAAAAAAATACTTTTCAAAATAGTCATTATTTTTCTACTCGTGAAATGTAAAATTACGACAGAAAGTGTTTTCTTACGGCTAATAATAAAAACTTTAAAATCTAAGTATTGTAAAATATACCTCTGCAAATGCAATGCATGTAAGCAATTCAATGTAAATACAAGGAATAACGTGTAGTGAGTTTAATTTTAACAGATCCCCAAATGAGGCTCATGGCAAGTAATGGGTTAAGGAATTGCAACAAAAGAAAAAAGAATAACTTAATGATTACATTTCTAAAATAGGCGTCGAGGATCTTATTGAAACTTTTAAAACATAGACAGTAGAAAGGGGTTGCCGACTCCCTTCCAAAAATATGACCAAGTTCATAACTATCTGGATTTGGGAGAAAATCTTCTTTCGTTTAGTCCAACTTTCAGTAAGACATCCTGTTGTATGGTTCATTTCATCATCAGCTGACGTAATGGAGGCTTTTTGCTCTGGATAGCGAGGTTGTACTCCTCTCTCTGTCCTGATATTTTACCCGGAACTGGGGGTACAAAAGATGGATTCCTACTTTTCCAAGAGTATTAGCACGTAAGGGAATGTCATGAACTCGACTGGAATTCGAACTCGGTTCTTTTTCAAATTTCACTAAAATTGTTAATGTTTTCTTAAATTTTATATATTTCTGTTTATCGTAAAAACTTTGCGTATATTTACAGTAAATATTTTGTTGTTCTCAGGAAAAAAAAGTTTCTTAGACAAGAACAATGGATCTCTGTAATCTACGAGGGTCGTTCAAAAAGTTTTAAGCCACATCGGGGAGTTGGAGAAACCTTTTTTGAACGGCCCTTTTTTTTAACAATTGTACAATGTATATTTCATATGATTTCGTGATCCTTCTATTGGTTAGTAGAGGAAGTACACTTCACTATGAGAATGAAAAAGAAGTACACTTCACTATGAGAATGAAAAAGAACTACACTTCACTATGATAATGAAAAAGAAGTACACTTTACTATGAGAATGAAAAAGAAGTACACTTCACTATGAGAAGGAAAAAGAGATGACGTGTTTTTTCGTAACTCCAAAAATTAACGTCTTTTATGTTTAATTGAAATACGTAAAAGTTTCCTTAAAAGTAACAATAATTTAATATAATTCGCAATTATTATTTCTTTTATTCCTTGATATGATTGTTATATGTATTTTGATATGTATTATAAAAAATTTCGCTGCTGTGATCACGATTCCCCTCCATCTCACAATTGTAGTTCATGCTACCGTTTAAGGTCAAATTGTGCAATGACATAAATAAAACAAAATTCAAAAAAGAGACTGTAATTTTATCGGTCTTGACCTGGCATCTCGACTCCAGTCACTTTCTCACCGATGTGACGTAGTTTACTTCTGTTCTTTCTACAAATATTTTAACGGCAACTGCTTTTACGGAATTTTTTTATCCTTGGTGTTCTGATTACATGAATTTAATCGTGCTACTAGATTGGCAATTAGGTCTCACCATTTCACTGTTGAACTAGTTAGATGCAATCGCCTCTTCTACTTTCTTTTGTCCCACTTGACCAACTGTGGAACTCTCTTCTGATTTCTTGCTTACCTGATAATTTTCAAAACTTTAAATGCAACATCAATCGCCATCATTTATCTTCCTTTTTTTTTTGTCCTTTCCTCAATCTTCCCCATTCTCAGTCTTCTCATTCTCTTTCAATTTCAATCCATGTAACCCCCGCAATCTCGTTACATTATCGCCGAGCTTGCGGTAAAATGATTAAAACAAATCAAACGAGGAATGGATACTTGTTTCTCCTTAAAATCCAAAGAAGGGCCTGTAATGTAATTCATTCTGACCAGGCATCTCGACTTCAATCACTTTCTCACCGACGTGACGTGGCTTCCTTTTCGCCTCTTTTCTACAAATATTTTCATGTCAACTCTTATGAGCTTTTCCCCTGGTGCACCGTCTCAAACGTGCTGCTAGATTGGCAAATAGGGTCTTAGCGTTTCACTCTTGATCCAGCTAGATTCAACCGCCACT